GAGTTTAAGCCACTGAGGTCCGGGACTCGAACTGCGGTCGACTACGTGGGAGTCCAGCGACATAGCCATTATGCTAACTGCCGGTTCCACAAAAATCACTCTTAAAAACAAAAGCAAAAACAAAACCCAGGGGCCAGCTGATGGCATAGTGACTAAGTCCCTGGACTCCCACATGGTCGACCGCAGTTTGAGTCTTGGACCCAGTGGCTCGAAACTCATGCCAGGTGTATGTGCATGCTTACTCCAGATCCCAAGAGGAGAATGTAAGAGGAGGGATTGCTGCATGGCCATCTCCCCCAAGGACTGAGTTCTCATTTTCTCTCTGTCTCTCTGAGTCTCTGGAGAATGCCCCCCAGGGACTGAGTTCTCATTTCCTATCTCTCTGTCTCCCTGAGTCTCTAGAGAATGCATGCACCTTATAGCAAAATCCTCTCTAAAAAACAAAAAACAAACCCAGCCTCCCGTGCAGAGTCCAGGCTCCCGTGTGACTGGGCCCAGAGCGAGGTGGGCTGCACGTAATCCTGCCGCTGTTATTCCCCGCGGTGCGTCTGGCCACGGCCACAAGGCGCTGTGAAGTGCACAACTGTGCCATCCCGGGGCACTTAGGTGCTCGTCTGTGGGGCCCAGTGATGTTGGTGGTGACTCTGTCTCAGTCAGAGGGTCCAGCTGAGCCTGGCTCCTGGCTGCGGCCGGGCCCAGGTGTGTCCCCACGTGTTCACGCTGGGGCAGGTCTGAAAGGCGGCAGTTACTCCCACGGTGATGGCAGGAGCACCGAGCGGTGGAGAAGCACGCCGTTTGTCAGAAGGCCCGGGCTCAGAATCGGCAGTCAGTCCTGCCCACTGACCCCGGACCAGAGCAAGCCGGCGGTCCCTGGTCCCGGCAGAGCCGAGAGGAGAACTGCACCTTGGCTTGATTTCTCATTCTCTATCTCTCTGACTCTCCAGTGAGTGCACATGCTCTATAGCAAAAATTTCTCGCTAAATGAATAAATAAATAAACGACAGTCACTACCAATAGATTGCAGAGAGGCCCAAAGGCCAAACCTGCTCAGTGTGGCTGACTTACGGCAGACTGAGGCTGTAGATTTGGTTTGATCCTCCAACCACCCGAGGGTGAGGGCGCTTTACTCACCCCTCCCACAGCAGGCAGATGAGGCTCAGAGGCCTTGTGGCAGAAAGAGGCAAGAGGGGACTCAGTCTTGTCTCTGACTCCCCTTATGGTCCCCACCCACTCTGACCCCTGGGGCCTCTCGCCCATCAGGCCAGGAACATGTCACTGTGGAGATGACCCCACGCTCCGGAGGCTCCAGGGTGAACCTGCCACCGTCCTCGGAGCCGTGTGTGCCCGACCGTGGCCGGCAGTACCAGGGACGCCTGGCAGTGACCACACAAGGGTCCCCTTGCCTGGCCTGGGCCAGCGTGGAGGCCAAGGCTCTGAGTAAGGACCAGGACTTCAACCCCGCGGTGCCGCTGGTGGAGAACTTCTGCCGAAACCCAGACGGGGATGAGGAGGGCGCGTGGTGCTACGTGGCTGGGGCCCCTGGCGACTTTGAGTACTGCGACCTCAAGTATTGCGGTGAGTGGGCAGGACAGGGGGGCTGAGACGTAGGGGACAAAGCCTGGGGGGAATAAGAAGAGCCACAGACATCCATGCTTGTCTGAGGCTTATCCCCCGTGCGTGTGAGCGCCTTCATCACAGCCCGAAGTGACTGCGTTGGGCAAGGCCCTGCCGTTTTGCAGACGCGTAGACAGGCCTGGGGCAGTGAGGTTGCCTAGAGCCCAGCTGCGTGTGTGCTCTTAACCTCTGCACCAAGGGGCTTCCAAGACCAGCAGGGGGCTTGGGAGTGTCTGGGGCTGGTGGTGGCCCAGCCCTGCCCCAAGTGCCGGCTCCCTGCAGAGGAGGCCCTGGAGGAGGAGGAGGAGGCAGGAGATGGGCTGGAGGAAGACCCAGACCAAGCCATCGAAGGACGCACCAGCACCCAGGAGTTCCAGCCCTTCTTCAATGAGAAGACCTTTGGAGCTGGGGAGGCAGGTGAGGCCACGGGCACCTGTGGGCTGCGGGGCTGGTGTCAGGATGGACCCTCACCACCTGCTGGCTCTACAGACTGTGGGCTGCGGCCTCTCTTCGAGAAGAAGTCGTTGGAGGACTCGACAGAGAAGGAGCTTCTTGACTCCTACATTGCTGGGCGCATCGTGAAGGGCCGGGAGGCAGAGGTTGGCAGTGCGCCTTGGTGAGTCCTGGCCCCGCCACGGTCTGCTCTGCGGGGCGGGATGCTGCTGGCCGCCGCCCCAGCCGGGGATGCCTGTCTGCCCTCCAGGCTGGGACTGCACCTCCAGGCTGGGGCTGCCGGCCGAGCAGCCTGGTCTAGTCTGGTCCTCACAGGCGCAAGGGCATTGGGTCTGTTACCTCCCAGGCAGATGACACAGCTCAGGCCCAGAGAGTGTAAGGGACAAACCTCAGGCTCATGGCCTGGGCTGCAGTCAGGACACAGGTGCAGTTCTAAGCCCAGAGCTGTGGGAAATCGGGGCGGGAAGAATCTGGCAGGAGTGCAGAAAGCAGCAGGCGGCCCTTCAGCATCACACGGAGGCTCCGGTCTCCAAGGGCGGCCAGGCCCAGCTGGGCTCCAGGCCCAGTAGGCAGCTTTGGCTGGTTCTTAACTTGGGGCCTTTTCCTTCTAGGGCTGGTGGAGAGGCCTGCCCCAGCTTCTAATGCTTCCTGTCCCCACCCCCATCCCAGGCAGGTGATGCTTTTCCGGAAGCATCCTCAGGAGCTGCTGTGCGGGGCCAGCCTCCTCAGTGACCGCTGGATCCTCACTGCCGCCCACTGCCTCCTGTACCCGCCCTGGGACAAGAACTTCACCGAGAACGAGCTTCTGGTGCGCATCGGCAAGCACTCCCGCAACAGGTATGGGCGCCATGGGGGTCTGGCAGGGTCTGCGTCCTCCAGAGGGACCCTGAGTGACTCCAGTGGCCCTGGGGCATGTGGGCTGTGTCTATCCATCCCTACCACAAGACATCCCAGCATTCTCTGCCAGAAGGTCCATTTGGTCACTCCTGACTGTGGTTTGGAGTTGGGACAGGCAACCCTGGTTGCAGGTGACGTGGTTAAGGTGCCGGACTCCCGCATGGCTGACTGCGGTCCACATCTTAGACCTGGGCCTTGCTTTCTCACGTTCTTTGTCTCTCTCTCTCTGTGTCTCTCTAGTGAGTGCATGCGCCCTATACCAAATTTTAAAATAATAATAATAAATTAAATTAAATGAATAATTCTAAAAGAAAAGAAAAACATACCAGGTGCATGTTGTGAGCACGCCCAAAATCCCTAGAGGAGAAAGGATTGTATCATGGCCATCCCACCTGGGGGTGATTTCTCACTTTCTCTCACTCTGGCTCTCCAGTGAGTACACACGTGACCTATGGCAAAAACCTTTTTTTAAAAAAGACTCTTGGTCTACCCCCAGCCCCCCTCCAGACTCCAGGGCATGGCCCGAGCGGTGTATATGGAGACACTACACTGTGCATCCCGTGCCCTGCCTCCCCGTCTTCCTGGGCTCTCTGACTCCAACGCCCAGTGCAGCTTTCAGCCCAGGAAGGCGCTGCCAGTGGACAGTGGACAGCCACTGGTGGCTCAGCAGGCACCCTGACTCGCAGACCCTGAGGGCAAGCAGTTTCCTTCCTCATGGGCCCAGCCGCACCTGCTGGGGCGGGCTGGCCTCACCGCGTCTCACCGCGTCTCTGTTGGTCTGTGCAGGTACGAGCGGAACATCGAGAAGATCGCCATGCTGGAGAAGATCTACATCCATCCCAGGTACAACTGGCGTGAGAACCTGGACCGGGACATCGCTCTGCTGAAGCTCAAGAACCCCATCACCTTCAGCGACCGCATCCACCCCGTGTGCCTGCCCGATAAGGAGACGGCGGTCAGGTGCGAGGCCAGAGGCCGCTAGGGAGCGGGCAGAGCCCGAGCGCGGCCGGCACCGGCACCTGCGGCCTTGCGGAGGCTCCTTCCCCTTTCTGGCCCTCGGCTCCTTGGAGCGAACCCCAAAGTCTTTCCCTGCGCTGGTGTTTTAGGGCTGAGTCTCTAGGGAAGGGGTTGGGCCCGGGGCTCTGGGCGGGGCCGGTCCTCACCAGTCTTTCTCCATTTCCCCAAGGTTGCTCGTCTCTGGATACAAGGGGCGGGTGACGGGCTGGGGCAACCTGAAGGAGACGTGGATAGCCAGCGTGGACGAGGTGCAGCCCAACGCCCTGCAGGTGGTCAATCTGCCCATCGTCGAGCGACCGGTCTGCAAGGCCTCCACCCGCATCCGCATCACCGACAACATGTTCTGTGCCGGCAAGTCTGGGCTGGGCAGGCCCGTGGGCAGCAGGGGCAAGGGCCAGGAGGGGCCGGGCATGTGGCAAGCACAGATTGGGGTTCAAGTTCTGGTGCTTACAAGCCATGTGACTGTGGGCAGGTCGCTTAGTCTCTTGGAGGCTCTGTTCCTTCCTCTGTAACATGGAGACCAAAGTCGCCATCCCTAAGGCCGGCCGAGGGTAACCGGGAGAGTAATAGACCGTGTGTGAGTGGCACCAGCCGCCCCTGCAGTGCTCAGAGAGCCGTGGGGACATAGGTGGGGAGAAGGCGTTTATTTATACAGCAAATATTTGTGTCCCAGGCAGCATTCTAGGGTATAAAATAGGGACCTGAGGTTCCAGCTGGTGGTTAAGGCGCTGGATCCCACATGGCTGATTTTGCGGTTCGAGTCCCAAACCCAGTGACTTGAAAACCACACCAGGTGCATGTGCCCGATATCCCAAGAGGAGAGTGGAGAAAAAGGGATTGTGGCATGTGTGTGGGGTGCTTCCTCACTTTCTCGCTCTTTGTCTGTCTCTGGTGAGCTCATGCACCCTGTGGCAAAAATCTAAAAACAAAAGAAAAGAAAACACTATGTAGAGTTTTCATTATCATTGCTTTTTTTCTTTTTCTTTTTTTAATTATTTAATTTTATTTATTCATTCATTCGTTTTTTTAAATTTGACCAGAGAGAAAGAGGGAAAGTAAGCCACCAGGTCCAGGACTCACACCATGGTCAGCCATGTGGGAGTGTCCAGCACCTTAACCACCATACCACCTGCTGGTCCCTATCATTGCTTTTTTAAGAAATTCTATAGTCTCCATTTGTATTCCACTTTCACCCAATAATTGTTTAATAGATGGTTTTAAAACTTCCAGATGAGCTGGGAACCAGCAGTTAGTGTAATGGCTATGTCGCTGGACTCCCACGTAGTCGACCGCGGTTTGCGTCCCGGACCCGGTGGCTTAAAACTCATGCCGGGCGCGTGTGCGTGCGTGCCCAAGATCCCGGGAGGAGAATGGAGGAGAAGGGATTGCGGCGTGACTATCCCCCCTGGGGGGTGATTTCTCGCTTTCTGTCTCTATGTCTCTCTCTGTCTGTCTGGCGAGCGCACGTGCCCTATAGTGAAAAAAAAAACCTCTCAAAAAAAAAAAAAAAAAAACTTCCAGATGAGCAGACCCTCTTGTATTTTGATTTTGTTAATAATTTTGAATTTATTGCACTGTGACCAGAGACTATTATTTGTAATATTTTTACCTTATGGAATTGAAATTTTTTTAGAGCACTCTCTTTTGATCAAATCCTGTGAATGTTACATACATGCTTGAGAGAATATCGTCCTTATTTTCCAAATTTGACATATATTGGGCTCCATGGCCTGGTGGTTAAGGCAGCCAGATCCCACATGGCTGACTTCATGGTTCGAGTCCCAGACTAGGCAGCTTGAGAAACATGACAGGTGTGTGTGCATGCGTGCCCAAAATCCTGACAAGAGGGAGGAGAAGGGACTGCAGCATGACCATCCTCATTGTGGGAGAGACAGTGCTTTCTCTTCTCCCTTTCTTTTTGTTTCTTTATCTCTGATGAGCGCACACATCCTCTAGCCAAAAAAAAAAAAAAAAAGTTTGGCATATATCCATAGATGTACTTTATTACTTGTTTAATACTTAAGTAAGCTATCTCCTTATTTATTTTTGGTTCAGTTGATCTTCTTGTATTGAGCTTAGTTAAAAAATTTTATTTGTTCATCCATTTATTCTAATTTGACTAGACAAAGACACAGAGAGAGATAGAGAAAGTAAAAAAGCAAGCCACCAGGTCTGGGACTTGAACTGTGGTCAGCCATGTGGGAGTGAGTGCCTTCAGCGCCTTAACCACCATGCCATCTGCTGGCCCCAAGCTTGGTATGCTAAATTCTACTATTAATGCGCATTTTTTTTTTAAAGAGGTTTTTGCTATAGGGCGCGTGCGCTTGCCAGACAGACAGAGACAGAAAGACAGAAAGCGAGAAATCACCCCCCAGGGGGGATGGCCACGCCACAATCCCTTCTCCTCCATTCTCCTCTCGGGATCTTGGGCGCGCACATACATGTTTCCAGTGTGAGTTTAAGCCACCGGGTCCAGGACTCGAACTGTGGTCGACTACATGGGAGCCCAGCAACATAGCCATTATGCCAACTGCTGGTCCTCCTTGCATTTCTTGTAGTTTTTATTCATTGTGAATTTTGGTTTTTAGCATTAAAAGCTTTTTTGTTTTTACATTAAATTTTTGTTTGTTTGTTTTTGTTTTGCATAGGTTTTTGCCATAGGGTACTTGCTGAAGAGAGACAGAGAGAGGGACAGTGTGAAAACACTCTACAGGGGATGGCCGTGCCGCAGTCCCTTCTCCTCCATTCTCCTCTCAGGATTTTGAGCACACACACACACACACACACACACACACAAACACACGCCCAGCGTGATTATCAAG